CTTACTCTTGCTCAGGCCGGGCTTGAACTCCTGAGCTAAAGCAATCCATCCACCTTGGCCTCCCAAGTGCTGGGATTACATGCGTGAGCCACCACACCTGGCCCATTAGTAAGCATTCTTATTCCGGGTTCCTGTTTGTCAATTTACCACATCCCTTTTATTTCCGTTTGTCTTTTTATTTTCCAAATCAAGTTTTGACTATTTCAAAATCTTTTTACTTTTGATCTTCCAATATTTTTGTTTTCTTCTCCTTTGAGCAATAAGCCTTAACCTCTTGGAATAAACCTAGTGGTGGAAGATTTACAAGGTTAAACAAGAATTTCTCAAAAAATGTCTAGGGTAATATTTTAGACCAGTGTTTTTCATCCTTTTTAATCTCACAGCACACTTGAACCTATATAGTTAAGGAGGGTATTCTTAAATTATCTTGATCAAAAAAAAAAAAGAGAGAGAGAGAGAGAGAGGGAGAGGGCAGCGCCTGTGGCTCAAAGGAGTAGCGCGCTGGCCCTATATACCGGAGGTGGTGAGTTTAAACCCAACCCCAGCCAAAAACTGCAAAAAAAAAGAGAGAGAGAGAGAGAGTATACTATGTTTTGAACTTCTTTAAAAAATAATTTAATTAATGATCTTTAAAAATGTTAATGGCACAGCTAAGAACTGCTAAACTGGTTGAAAATCACTGTTTTTTTCTTGCTATTCTTGCATACATTTGCCTCTGTAATTGATTTCCCCTTTTCTATTCTTTTCCTGCAATATTGTGTGCAGGTCGTGTTGGTAGTTAAATCCACCACTTGGCCCCTAGGCGTTAGAATACTGAGTCTAAATTGCTGCAGAACCGAGAAAGGGTGAACATTGCCCAGAAATCCTGGGCTGACTCCTGAGGCCCTTGCAGCTCGTCTTGATCACTGACAGCAGAGTCTGCACCGTCTGCCTATCCTGTCTTCCACCCACGTGCCTGCCCTTTGTGTATCTTGCCGCCCATTATGATTTCCAGCCTGTGGGTGACTTATAAATTGGATACACATAAGAAAGGTTGCCACTGGCCAATGATTGTAAGTCTGTTAGCAAGTCTTAGCTTTAGGACTCTGCTATTAGTGGTGACCTGTTGTGAATCAAGAATGGATTGACTATAGCAGCAGAGGTAGAGGTCAAGAAGGAAGTTTC